CTGGTGGTCACTCTGTTCTCCAAAATTTGAATATAAATAAATCTGTATTATTGTAAACATGTACAACATTTATTTGATAAGAATACGAGCTGAGTTTCTTGTCAGTTCTTCTCATCTCGAAATCATTCCGAACTGACGGTAGATTTGACATATCAGAAGTCTGTAATAGATTAACATGAAAAAAGATATTTTAAATTCGAATTTGATTAAATATTTTAATTTCAGTTATCTATAGATGAATAGGTGAATGAAAACTTTGTATCCCTTTTTACCAAAATAGCGCAGAAGGACTAGTATGAAATTTCGCACACTTATAATTTACATAGAGAAAAGCAGAATGCTATTTTTTTTTAATTTATGAATAAAAAATACATTAAATTAATTAAAAAAGAATTAGTCATTTCATACGTTATTAATTTTACATGGTGCTATGTATTTGACATACACCCGCATATATACTCTTTTGTTTATTGTTTACTAGTTACTCGCCTCGGCTTCGCACGGGTGTACATGTATTATACATATAAACCTTCCTCTTAAATCACTCTATCTTTTAAAAAAGGGCTTCAAAATCCGTTGCGGAGTTTTAAAGATTTAAGCATACATAGGGGCGGGCAGACAGCGACAGCGACTTTGTTTTATACTGTGTAATGATTATGCATATAAAGGTAGACAGAGAGAATGAAAAATAATTGGTTACAGAGTAATAAACTTTATAGAATAAATATTACTTAATGTTTTTTTTTATTTTTAATAGGTAAATCCGAAATATCTTTTGATATCGTAATACTTGGTTCTGAGTCACCGCTCGTGTACAAAATTATTTCTTAATATATTTTTTTAATACTTTGAAAGGTAAATACAAAACATCATTTGATATCGTAATGCTTGGTTCTGAGTCATCGCGAATGTAATAAATTACAATACTTTATATTTTTAACGCCTAATCAGTATACATTATATCATCAAACACAGTTTGCTTTTGACTGATATGTTTGACGTCAATATTTGATTGAAATGTTTAATTTGGCAGCTACAAGCAGCATGGATGGGAAAACAAAATGGCGGTTTTTTCTGAGCAATACGTTTACTTATATTGATTACTAGCCGACCCGCGCTACTTCATCTATGTCTATCTATACATCTATATATGTATAGATGATCTACTTATATATGTATAGACTTATTTTTAAACTTTCTCGTTTAATATATATCTATACATATAAACAAAATTGGAGTGGCTGTTTGTAATATTGAAATAACCGTTTTTTACTACATGCATATGAAACAAGCTTTTGCCCGCAGCTTCGCTCGCGGTAATGTATCCCCTTAGGGGAGGGATTAATCAAAATCCTTTCTTAGGGGATGCCTACGTCATAACATCTACCTGCATGCCAAATTTCAGCCCGACCCGTCCAGTGGTTTGGGCTGTGCGTTGATAGATCACTATGTCAGTCAGTCACCTTTGAGTTATATATATATATTTAGAAATACGGTAATTACACCAAAATAACATTTTTTACAATTTTTGTCTGTCTGTCTGTTGGTTCCGGCTAACCTATGAAATGGCTGGACCGATTTTGACGAGACATTTTTTGACAGCTGGTAGCTGAAGTAATAAGGCTACTTTTATTTTCGAAAAATAAAGTTAAATTCCACGCGAACGGAGCCACGGGTGAAACTAGTTTAATATATGAACGTATAACAATTACGGTTTCATCAAGTTTCGCTGACTATCAATTTAACATAAATATTTATACATTGATCCACTTATGTCTGATTTTCCAATCGATTATTCATAAACGTAAAGTGAGTACTAATAAATTATAACTGTAACCTTTCACTTAATGATTCAAGGGATTATTATTTACTTGGGCAAGGCATAAAGCCTTATGCGAGGCCTTGAAAACGATAACTGCGTAGTAACTGCGTATTTAGTGTTACGATGTAGCGTAGAGTCACAGACGACGCTACGCGACGGCCTAGCGTGGTTGACCACAGCGTAGCGTAGCCAGAACGTAGCGAGCGGAACTGGAAAACGCTAATATAGTGTCAACGATGATGATTTATTTACATTACTGGTCGCCAGTGGTCGAAATTTGACCATAATAATAATAATCTCAGGACAATTCACACAGCGCCATCTAAACCCAAGTTAAGCTAGCTAAAGCTTGTGTTATGGGTACTAGATAACTAATACAATTACATAGATAATTTTTTTTTTCGTAAATACATATGAAATGAAATGAAATTATTGGTGGTCTAACGGTCTAGCACACCGCTTTACGACTGATGGTCGCGGGTTCTATTCCTCGCACGGCACAAACATTTGTATTCATGAGTACGATTGTTTGTATCGGTCTGGGTGTTTTCTATGTATAATATGTATGTATTTACAAAAAAAATCTAAGTAATGTATTAGTTATCTAGTACCCATAACACAACCTTTAACTAGCTTAACTTGGGTCTAGATGGCGCTGTGCGAATTGTCCTGAGATTATTATTATTATAATCTGTTTTATAAAGTCTATGTATACGTATTTTTTAATTGTAATATATATATATGTGCGCCCGTACTGCGGGCGCAACTGAAAATCAGCGCTGGAAAAAATGTTTCCAGCAGTATGCTGAGTTGTGGCCCACATTGACTCTGTTTTTTTTAATGTGTAAATTATTCTTGTACTTCTTATGTTATTACTGTATAAAACAAGTTAATAAAATCTCTATTAAATAAAATAGATAAATTAATTACGTACACAATAGATGGTATAAACTAATTACAATAAATTAAATTTGAATAAATGATTTTCTATTCTATTCTACAATAAGTCGTAATAATGTTTAAAAATCATAATTACGGTATAATTACATTTTGATTCATATATTCTGTAATATAAAAAGGATGTTTTTCAAAATAATATTTTCTTTTCTTTTTGAGGTAATTGTTCGATAGTAATAGGTAACTTATTATACACTAGCATTTACCCGCGGCTTCGCTCGCGTTAATTTATCGCGTTTTATATATTAGGGGTGGAATTTATCAAAATCCTTTCTTAGGGGATGCCTACTGTGACGTGGTCGTGTGGAATGAGTAGTCATGCTCACTAAAATGTCCAGACATGTGGCGGCGTGGTGGGCCGGGTCAATGGGCTCCCTAAAATATGGTCGAGCGCAGTGATGGCTGGCTCATCCGTCATACTCGTGAACGAGTGCTGCTTGTAGGGACTGGTCTGCTCTTATCACTACGACTGATTTAATCTTATTGCAAGATTATATTTGACCCAAAAAATTAGTGCTTGTTGGTAGTTTGTATTCACACGTTTCGACTTGTAAATGTAAACTTACAAGGATTATTTAAAAGAGCAACACACAAGTTTATTGCTAGTTCTTCTTGTGATGAGACAGCTTTCCTAACGAGTGCTAGATAAAAAACAAATTGTTATGACTATTCAAAAGTGCTTAAATTAAGTTTATTTGAATAAATGATTTTCTATTCTTTCTATTCTATTCTATTCTGCGTCATAGCTGTTTTATGCATGTAAAGTCTCAGCCCGATCGGTTTAAAATTAACAAAGTTTCATATAAACTTTCATCCCCTATTTTATTCCTGTGGGGGTAGAATTAATCAAAATCCTTTCTTAGCGGATGCCTACGTCATAACATCTACCTGCATGCCAAATTTCAGCCCCATCCGTCCAGTGGTTTGGGCTGTATATTGATAGATCACTACGTCAGTCGCCTTTGAGTTATATATATTTAGATTTTTATTTTTAAAGTAATGCCTTGTTTAAAAGTCGTATTATATTGTTTTTGGCAATTGTATAATTATCTTTATTTACCGTGTGGTAATTATGATTATTATAATGTTTTTTTTTGCATAATTGTAAGTGTTATGTTAAATTTTCATAGTCTATTTATGCAGATATAGAGTAGTCATTGACCGTAATCACTCCACTTGTACTTACATGTCATTTACATAACACATTAGAACACAACAACACTCATACAAACTCATACACACTCATACATACACATGCATAGCGCGGACTTGCTGCGCATTTCATCACACAAAAGGTGATACTTATTTTAGCATTTTCAACAGTTGCCAACACTTAACACGCTCGTGATCTGTCAATATATGACTCAAAATGACAAATTACGAGTTGATATCGTATAGTAAGTTTAAAAATGTGATTATATATATCTATACATATAAATAAAATTGGAGTGTCTGTTTGTAATGCTGAAACAACCGTTGTTTACTACATGCATATGAATATATATACAATACATACACCGGAATAACATTTTTTTAAATTTTTATCTGTCTGTTTGTTCCGTCTAATCTCTGAAATGGCTGGACCGATTTTGACGGGACTTTTTTTGGCAGGTAGCTAATGTAATAAGGAGTAACTTAGGCTATTTTTATTTTAGAAAAGTTCAATAAAATTAAATTCCACGCGGACGAAGTCGCAGGTGCAGCTAGTCAATAATGTAACTGTAGTACATATTGTCTTTGGTCTAATTTATCTATAACTTTTGTTATGGATGTTTATAACGTACTCTGTGCGGGGGTAGCAGATTTTTTAGTAATATGTCCCTATTACACCATTGTACCAAGGGGGACCCCCCTTGGAAACCATCAAGATAAATTCCTGGTGAATTTATCACGATGGGCAGGTCAGTTAGACCTGATCTCACACTCATCTAATCATTCTTTACTGGTGCACCATTACATTACCATCCAAACTAAAACGTACTCTGTGCAATTACAGAAGCGGAGTCTGTAGTGTCAAATGTCGGGAACGGCCAAATGAAATGTATAGCGCGAATTGTTTATTTGAATTTATATTTAAATACAGTACAGTAATATAATATCAATAATCACAGAAAAAAACAACAAGCAACAAGCAATAAATTCAGTAATGATATCTTAAAAAAACCGACCTCTGGCCTCTCTGAAATGACTCCGAAAAAAAAAAATAAAAGCAGGTACTAACCGAGTATCACGCTGCAGGTGGCGAGGCAGTCCTCCTGAGTGAGGAAGTTGTTCCTATTCCCTCGACAGCCCCCGTAGTTGAAGGGTATGCACATACCCTTCATGGGGATGAACGCAAACCTCTGGTACATACCGCGGCAGGGGCCCTGCGACGGCTCCTCCATACAAATACCTGCAATCAGATACACATGTTACAGATAATTAATATATATAATATAATAATCTCAGGACAATTCACACAGCACCATCTAGACCCAAGTTAAGCTATTATAGCTAAAGCTTGTGTTATGGGTACTAGATAACTGATACAAATACATAGATATTTTTTTTTTCGTAAATACATACTTAATATACATAGAAAACACCCAGACCGACACAAACAATCATACTCATGAATACAAATGTTTGTGCCGTGCGTGGAATCGAACCCGCGACCATCGGACGTAAAGCGGTGTGTTAGACCGCTAGACCACCGAGGTCGTCATGCTTATGAACGTCAAATTTTTACATTATAAATTTATTTTTTCCCTACCGTCCAGTTCGGTATATAGATCCAATTGAGAAGAACTGGCAAGAAACTCAATTGAATTACTTTTTTTTTTAAAGCCAGTTTATTTACAATGTATATTTATATAGGTGTCTATGTCTAACATTAAATGAAAATTCAGTGCATGAACAACTATTGCCATGCACACTCGTCATTCAAGTAATCGTTAAGCTAGCTAAAGCTTGTGTTATGAGTACTAGATAACTGATATATATACATAGTTTTTTTTTTGTAAATACATACATATTATACATAGAACACATTCAGACCGATACAAACAATCATACTCATGAATACAAATGTTTGTGCCGTGCGGAGATCGAACCCGCGACCATCGGTCGTAAAGCGGTGTGCTAGACCTCTAGACCACCGAGGTCGTCATTAATTAGAGAGTAAGGGGGCCTCCATAAATTACGTGAGGTGTTTTTATTAATTTCCGTCTTTTTTTAATATTTAAATAACCGAATTTTACTACATGCATATGAATATAAATACGGTACGTACACCAAAATAACATTTCTACTATTTTTGTCTGTCTGTCTAATTGTTCCTTCTAATCTCTGAAATGGCTGGACCGATTTTGATGGGATTTCTTTTGGCAGGTAGCTGATGTAATAAGGAGTAACTTCGGCTACTTTTATTTTAGAAAAACAAAGTTAAATTCCACGCTGACGAAGTCGCGGGAACAGCTAGTAGTATAATAATATCTCAGGACAATTCACACAGCACCATATACTTAAAGCTAAGTAGAACTTATGTCATGGGTACTAGACAACCGATATATCCTTTGCCCTCATTCATTTTAAATGTTAATACAATACTTTAAAAACTTTTGAATTGTCTGCCTGTATATAATTCAAATTCAAAATTCAATTTCAAAATATCTATATTCATGTAGGTCTATTACAGACTCTTATGATATGTCAAATCTACCGTGTCAGTTCGAAATGATTTCGAGATGAGAAACTCAGCTCGTATTTTTTTTTTAATGTTGTATATATTTACAATAATACTATTTCATTAAAATTCAAATTTGGGAGAATAGAGTGACCACCAGCATATGCTATATAAAAAAAAATCAAAAACTCTAATCAGTGTTCGCAACCTGAACAGACCAGTCCCCACAAGCAGCACCCGTTCACGAGTATGACGGATGAGCCAGCCATCATTGCACTCAACCATATTAGAGGGAGCATATCGACCCGGCCCACCACGCCGCCACAAGTTTGAACTTTATAGCGAGCATGACTGTTTCAAGTTACTCCACTACGTCATTTATTTTATTTACAGCATAAACTGTATAATATACTAGCTACTTGCCACACCTACACCAAAATAACATTATTTACAATTTTTGTCTGTCAGACTAGAAAACAGATTTTCTAGTCTTCTTTTGTTTCAATAAGTTCTGCCTTTTTCTGCATCTGGTATTGCAATTTCAAAACCAAATGGAGTATTATTTTTGTGGTTATAAACTAACAAAATGCAGGCAATTCACTGTGCTCTTATTGGTGTGTTATTAACCAAATGATTCATAAGACACAATAGCAGAAGCAATCAATAAACAATTGCATAATAATTAAGTTAATTGCTACAACGTTTAGTTCGACCATTTGTAGTTTCTTAAGACAATGGAATAAATATAGATTCGTTTAATATTTCCGTAAACATTAAGAAAGAAAAAAAGAAAAACATGAACATAATAATAATAATAATAAACACTACAGCCGAGGATATACATTCACAAGAACTCAACAGATCAATTTCACAACAATCAAACTCACCGTCATTCACAAGTGACATAAATAGGATTAGGATGATACCAACCATGGATGTTACGCAGGTGGCAACTGCTTTTTTACCTGCGTCCACCAAGGCTGGAAAACCCCGAGAACGCATGAGATGGAGTAATGAAGTAAACACGTTCATAATGCGTACTTACTTAACTATTACTAATTTAGAAACTGACATGTCAACATATCGTAAAGAATTACACGAACTATTTTCACAACAATATCCAGAAGTAAATGTTACTGAACAAAGACTTTCCGACCAAATGAGAGCAATTGTAAGAAATAAATTACTCTCTCAAGAAGAACTTAACCGATTGAGAAAAGAAGTCCAAACAAAATTACAGGAAAATCTAGATGATAATAATACACGCAGACTGCCATACACTCAATGTGAAAGTGTTCCACTATCACAACCACACGTTTCTTTGGATTCAAGTTCAAACATACAAAATACACAAACATCACATATGCACATAACACCAGTCACACCAGGCACACAATAAGTACACACACACTCACGCATACATACACGCGCACACACATATACACACTCTGCATTTACTTGGTTTCGGCCCGTAAGTGTGGAGAAAACCAGCAAAAGCTGAGAAAAAATAAATAAATAATAATAGCCTACTATAAATACACCCCGCAGATAGTACTCGACTCTCCCGGTTATAGGTTGTATTGGGACAGGACTATAATAACAGACAAAACTGTACATCACAACAGACCAGATATAACGCCACATGATAAGGAAAATAAAATAGTTAACCTCATGATCCTCACTCTATCTATTAAAAAATCCGCTTCAAAATCCGTTGCGTAGTTTTAAAGATTTAAGCATACATAGGGACGGACAGACAGCGACAGCGACTTTGTTTTGTACTACATAATGATGATGATAAGTGTGCGAAAGTTCATACTCGTCCGCGCAATTTCTCTTAAAAGTGTATACAAAATTTTTGCTTATAGATATTTGTGGTACTAATAAACAATAACTGAACCAGTTCCTTTAGTTATTATCCTGATTTAGGTATAGATAAGTATATAGTAATATCAATAAAAACCATAGACAATCACTTGCGCAGTAGACGCTATTTGTGCAAACAATCGTGAGCCGGTCACGTGGTAACGTAATAAATCTCCAGATATTTACTTCCAAGGTCTCTAAATCTATAAAGGTATGAATGAAACGATAGTAACACTGGCTGCGTGCGATCATAAAACATTATATCTATACATATAAATAAAACTAGAGTGTCTGTTTGTAATATTGAAATAACCGTTTTTTACTACATGCATATGAATATACATACGGTATATACACCAAAATAGCATTTTTTTTAATTTTAGTCTGTCTGTCTGTTTGTTCCGGCTAATCTCGGAAATGGCTGGACCGATTTTGACGGGACTTTTTTTGGCAGGTAGCTGATGTAATAAAGAATAACTTAGGCTACTTTTATTTTAGAAAAAATGAACTTAAATTCCACGCGGACGAACAACTGTACCCACGAATTCGAGTTAGTTTTAGATATAATTTCATAATTCAATTAATTATGTTCGAATTTCGACCACTGGGGATCACAAGTACATATAAATAGATTAGCTTAACCATAGATATAGCATCCACGCTATGCAGGTAAATCATGTAAATATTTAGGTTTGCAAGAAAAGTCTGTGTACTCACGCTTGGCTGTAGCCATATCGATCTGGCAGTCTTCTCTCTCGACGCAAGGCCTCTGCTGCAGCAGCTCGACTCGCTCCGAGCAGGACAGCTGCTGGGTCGGCGGCACTAGCAGCAGCCGCGTACGGAACCTCACCCCGCGGCCGCAGGACGCCGTGCAAGGGGACCACGCCGCCCAGGGAGTCGTCGGGCACGTGGGGTCCACGACTTCCACCTCCTCAGCCTCCGTGCATGCCGGCTCCATACACTTGCGGTTCTCCTCTGTTCACAAAATAGATTTTTATTCAAGTGTCTGCCGAGGTTTTCTCAAGAAACAATAGCACGGGGTTTTTCAAGAAGGATGTTTTAGGGTTTCTTAAGGGTTGGGAACGTGTACTCCTCTGGTGTCTCATGCGTTCTCAGCTACCGTAACTGTTTATCATCAGATGGACCGTACGCTTGTTTGCCACCTACGTGGCATAAAAAAAATATTCGATAATATCACAGACCTACTGATACGAGAGGACACTTCTTCAGGCCCATATGGTTGAGGAACTGCCTGCGCCTGGTGCTGATGCCGATGCCGCACGTCACCGAGCACTCGCTCCACGGTCCCCACTCCGTCGTCTTGCAGATCCCGCCAACGTTCTCGATGGGGGGCACTGACTCGTTGTCTGGTTCGGTTTCCTCCTCGTTGCTGTGAACCAATCCAATCAGATTTTGATCAGAGGCAGCTAGAATCAGAATTTTGTGGCGCGGGTCTGTTTTATCTGGCTAATAGAAAATGTATTTTTATTCTAATTTTATACTTAAACTAGCTTTTACCCGCGGCTTCACTCGCGTTAATTTATCACCTTAGGGGTGGAATTTATCAAAATCCTTTTTTAGGGGATACTTACGTCATAGTAGCTTTATGCATGCAAAGTCTCAGCCCGCTCGGTTTAAAATTGACAAAGTTGCATACAAACTTTCATCCCCTATTTTATCCCCTTGGGGGTAGATTTAATCAAAATCCTTTCTTAGCGGATGCCTACGTCATAACATCTACCTGCATGCCAAATTTCAGCCCGATCCGTCCAGTGGTTTGGGCTGTGTGTTGATAGATCACTATGTCAGTCACCTTTGAGTTATATATATTTAGATTTATAATTATTTTATTGTACATTCTTTTATATACTTCATACTACTTTGTCAACAGTTTCCTAATATATATCTCCGCATTCCAAATCCTTTTCTATAGTTTTCCTTTTACCTATATACCTATAAAATAAAACCACAACAGGCTCCCCACCAACAAACTGTCCACCTTCATGAAGGATGACTACTGGCCGAAGGGGGTGATGTACCTATCACACTGCTACCGTCGCAAATTGCTATATATGTATACATAGAAATCACCAAGGCCGATACAAACAATAATACTCGTACTTAAGAATAAAATAATTACATCGCGAGTGGAATCGAACCCGCGACCATAGAAAGTAAAGCCATCTAAACCTCTAGACCACCAGTGCTGTAAAAAGCGCTGTACAATAGTTATGCTGTGGTACTGACTTGCACTCCGGTATGGCTGCTACACACATCTCCTTGGAGACTAGCTGCCGGCTGCAGCCGGCGGCCTGGGCACGCTGCGGCTCGGAGAACTGCCGTGTGCGCATGCGCAGACCCTTACCGCAGCTCACCGAGCACGCAGACCACGGCCCCCACGCGGTCACCCCGCACTCCGCTGTCAACATGTAAAAGACACGACTCCAGCATTTTCCTAACTAATTTGATTTATATTTTTAATCTCAGAATTATTTCTATCAATGAGGGTGTGGGGACAATAATAATAATCTCAGAACAATTCACACAGCGCCATCTAGACCCAAGTTAAGCTAGCTAAAGCTTGTGTTATGGGTACTAGATAACTGATACAAATACATAGATTTTTTTTATAAATACATCCATATTATACATAGAAAACACCAAGACCGATACAAACAATCATACACTTGAATACAAATGTGTGTGTCGTGCGGGGAATCGAATCCGCGACCATCGGAAGTAAAACCGCTAGACCACCGTGGCCATCAAAAGGATTATACTAACGTTTGTTAACAGCGTCCGTATTCTCAGTCTCCTCCACAATAAGTGACTGCAGCGTCTCCTCGTCGCAGGAGTGTGAGATAAGCTTCTCCCGCGTGAGGTACAACCTCGCCAGTGGCGGGATCTGTTTCGATTGGGGGTTGTAGAATGGCGCTCGGGGATCTTCTGGGTACATAGTGGTGATGCGGTACATCCTCTCGCGGGGATTCGTCTCCGAGTTTGGGGACTGCGGATAAATATTTACGATATATTAACACAATTTACGAACGCACTCGTACTTGTAACTCTCTCTTTCTCTCTCTGGATTTGGATTTTTATCGTTTTAATAAGTAAAATAGAAGATACGTTTTCTGTGTTTTTGTGTTTTGGGTTAGAATTGACTCCAGATATCAATCTGGACAGTACAGTTTACTCATTAGCGTCCTGACTAATAGTTTGGAAGTCAGGACACTAATCTAGTCTTGGACTGCTACTAACTTGATACTGATGACGTTTTAAAATAAAAATTAATAATATTTTTACCTTTATCATCATCATGGGATAGTCATGGGATACTCAACTGTTCCCGTCGTAGCATATCAAGACTTGTCATGCCCATATTTTCCTCAGTATATTTGAATTCTACATGATATGGATCAATCCTATCACTATCATTATTAACATTGCTTTGCTGTTATCCATTGTTTGTGGTCGGCCTAGTATGTTCTCTTTCTCCACTGATTCCTATTAGCCTCTAAACTTACTATCTTTTTATACATATCTACTTTCACACAATCCAAGATGGATTCTTTGATTCTTTGGTCATCCTCTTCATTCCATCCATCCACGTTTATGTTAATACTTTCTTTAAGACATGGTCTTCTCTCCAAGACCACTATGTTCCTATAGGATTAAGCTACTTGATGTTTAATTATCATCTTTGTGAATGTAATTCTATTTAAAATCTACAGTTAAGGTTCGCCTATCATCAAACCTACCAAATGGAAATAAAGCCTAAGAGTTGTCCTGACTCACCATGTAGGAGATGCCGTTATCGGTGCCGGCGTCATACGGAAGCAGATCGATGACCTTGGACTCGACCCAGGTGCAGTCCTTCTGGCAGAGGTCCAACCCGTTCACGCCCACCACCCAGTCGGGGGACGGACCTTGCGTGCATCAAACAAGGTTCTATTATAAATTGATGGATGTATTTATTGCAGTAACACACGATACAGGGGAAAGGGTATTCATTACACACTGTCATTCTAAAAACAATAATTTACAAATGTGTGTAATAATCAAGTACATAATACTGACCGTGGAGAAATGACATCACCTACCACAAATACACAGAAATGTTATGAGTTAAAATCTGCACGACACTAAATGAATCAAGAATCGCGTCCAATCTACGACGTCTACAATTGATAATGCCCCTGACTACACCATATGGGTAAGAGTCGTGTGGCTACAAATGCATTAGCTTGAGGTCTCCCTGAGCAAACATCACTGTGGTATATGTGTATATAGAAAAGAAGAAGGGGGGCCATTTATGATATTTTATTATATCCTATTTTTTTTTAATTATTCTCAAATTGTTAAATGTAGGTATGTGTACATATGTATCAATCGTCAATATATATCTACTTACCGAACATGGAGGCAAGCGAGAGCAGGTGCCGCTTGCGGTCGACGCTGAAACTGGCGGTGGTATTGGTGTTGACGCGTGGGTACCACAGACCCTGTGCCTTCACGATGGAGCGCAACAGCTTGCCCTTCTGGCGCAGTTCGCGCTCCTGCAGGTCCACCGAGCCCCACTCTGCCAATGATCTGTACCGTGTACATGCAAAGAGTTAAAGAAAAGACCCAGATAATGAATATTACTGACTAGACGGAAAAAATTTTGGGGCACTTGATACGACACAACGAACTTAAGAATAATATTAGCGAAGGAAAATATAATAGATGGAAAGAAACAAAGAGGAAGACCAAGACATAGCTATATTAAGCAGATCAAGGTTGGAGTCGTGTCGTATCAACAATTAAAGATATTGATGGAAAATGACAAGATTTCCATCGGTAAAAGCATGCTATTTATGAATGATTGAGGGAACAAACAAACTTGTGGCTCATCTGATGGTACGTGATCACTGCCGCCATGAGTACCCGTAACACTAGGGGAATTGCAAATTTTTGAGTAAGGCGTATTCTTTCCTTAAAAATTTCCCAATTCCCCTGGTGTTTCGGGAGCTCATGTGAACACTTAAAAGATGTACTAAAATAGTAAAATTGGTCTAAGCGTACAAATCCTGGACTAGATGAAGAATGACAATTGTCCTTTTTGTTGATGATAAAAACAAAGAAAAGAATAAGTGGTAGACATAAGAAATGTAGGCTAGAAAAGTAAAAAGCAGATAGACGAGGATCGTGGTCTACGTCAAAAATTAATTGGGCAATAGGGATAGTGATAAACAATATGATGTTGACAAAAGGCCGAAAGGTCCTATTTAAACAAAGGTTTTTGATTTTAACTTTAAAAAACTTTATTAGGTTACACTAAATTAAACACTAGTACCTAATACGCGCAGTTTTCACTGCGACAATACCTATATTGTATTGGCACATCAAACACTTAAAGTGATTCTACTCGAGTCTTCTATACTGTAACGGAAAAAGCGACAGTGTGGTACAAATATTTGCATTTGAAATTATATGATAAAACTAGCTTTTGGCCGTGGCTTCGCCCGCATTTATTTATCCCCTTAGGGGTGGAATTTATCAAAATCATTTCTTAAGGGGTGCCTACGTAAGTAGCTTTATGCATGCAAAATCTCAGACCGATCGGTTAAAAATTGACAAATTTTCATACAAGCTTTCATCCCCTATTTTATCCTCTTGGGGGTATAATTAATATAAATCCTTTCTTAGCAGATGCCTACGTCATAACATCTACCTGCATGCCAAATTTCAGCCCGATCCGTCCAGTGGTTTGAGCTGTGCGTTGATAGATCACTATGTCAGTCACCTTTGAGTTATATTTAGATAAAAGCGATAAGTTGGCATAATCACCTAAATCCATCGGTAGCGATCTGACCCTCTCCCCAAAAGGAGAAATTCTTGGGGTGTGTGGCGCCGATGACATCTGAAAAGTGTGTCAGCCACGCGGTCTCCACGGGGAAATCCTTCGGGTGGGTCTGGGCAGACCACAGGCCCTCGAATACCATCTGTAATCGCGAATAATTTGATTAAACAACTCCTTAACGAATTAAATCCATGCTGTGGAATTAGAATACATTGTAGGTAATCTAGTTTTAGAATACATTGTAGGTAATCTAGTTTTTTTATATAGTTGTGTTTAATTTTGTTTTGTATATAGTTTGTGTATAAAACAAACTATATATATTTTATATATAGTTTGTTTTATACATAGTGTAGTATTAATTCCACAGACAGATATTGTCTTCTCTAAGTCGCTGTTACTGTTTTTTTTTGTTACTTTTTTGTGTCTAACGTTTACATTTTTATTTTATTTTCTATTTATATTACTATTATTGTAGTGTATATTCACATAACATCAATAATATTTAAAATTATGTAACTTAAGGCAATAGCAGTCACATAGAAATTAAATTAAATAAAATGGTATTTATTAAGATAATAAAAATGTGTGTGCGTGTCAAATACATGAGTGTAAAATGTTTTTTTATTAATTTAAAGTATTTTATACGCATAACTAGCTTTTACCCGCGGCTTCGCTCGTGTTTAGAAGTATTATTATTAATTAGGTATAGTTTTTGCGGCTTTTCTTTTGTTTCCTTTTTTAGGGGATGCCTACGTCATAGTAGCTTATGCATGCAAAGTCTCAGCCCGCTCTGTTTAAAAATGACAAAGTTTCATACAAACTTTCATCCCCTATTTTATCCCCTTAGGAGTGGAATTTATCAAAATCCTTTCTTAGGGGATACCTACGTTATAATAGCGTTATGCATGCAAAGTCTCAGCCCGATCGGTTTAAAATTGACAAAGTTTTATACAAACTTTCATCCCATATTTAGATAAAGCTAAGATTAAAAAAAATGTGGATACCTTATACTTGGCGTGGTCGCAGGCGCAGCAGTCGGATGCTGCTAGCGAGGTGTCCTCGCAGACGCGTTTCGTCAGCTGACCATCCTCTGCAAACCAGCGGCTGGCGTTCTCGTGCACCATCGCCCTATTACATACATAAACTAGTTTATCCAATATTTACAATAAAAATAACGCCAGCCTTGCTTGAAGAAATCTCTTAATTATCTTATCTTATACTTATTGTATTTAAGTATGTATAAGTAATGAAATGCACTGCTGCAAACATCTAATTTAATAATATAAATATTATATGAGTTATCCAGTAGAGACCCGGGTGCTGCTTGTAGGGACTGGTCTGTTCAGGTTACGAACACTACAAGTGCAATAGCATTCGCTAGTGGTCACTCTATTCTCCCTAATTTGAATTTAAAATTGAATCTGAATCATTGTAAACATGTACAACATTTATCTAAAAAGAATACGAGCTGAGTTTCTTGTTAGTTCTTCTCATCTCGAAAGCATTCCGAACTGATGGTAGATTTGACATATCATAAGAGTATGTAATAGACCTACATAAATATAGATATTTCGAATTTGATACTATAAATTACAAAGATTATAGAAATAATTATAATTGTCCTATGTTGGTATCGAACCTATTTCGTCACGGTTGGCGATCGTTAATAGTTTTTATTTATTTATAATATTGCAGTAAAATATAAAATTAAACCATACTGTGACCAGTTTTGACGCAATATATAAAAGTAAGTCCGCAAATATATATAATATATGAATAATAATATTCAGAATGAAATTTTTATTTAAGTCATCGAGAAAGGGATGAAACAATTAACAAAGTATTGAAAAACGCCTTTTTTCAATATAACTCGATAACGGTAAGTAATATGTAAAAATTATTTAAATAAAAGTTGTAGAGTAAAAAATTCTGCACAAAACACGTCCTCTTCATTTTTTCAATATCTGCTGTTGTTTAGCCACAAAAATTATTCAAATAAATGAAATTATGAATTAATAAATATAACATAATGTGCGAAAAAAATTGCATTACGTGCAGTGTCTAAAACTCACTTCAATAGCACACATCCGGAGCCTGTAGCGGGCGCCTTCCACATGACCTGCACCTCCGTCTTGGGCAGGTCGTCAGCCTCCACCACTGAGTTCACGCACTCCTCGTCGAACTTGCTGAGTGTGTCTGCGAACAGCTGGAACTGCCCCAGTTTGCTGGGGGAGCGCGGCCCCGCCGGGTCCAGCGGTTCCGCGACTAGACGGAACCTGGTGAACTGCTGCACCACGTCGTGGGTTCGAGACCCTACTAGAGTCACTGTAATCCAGACAAACCAGTCATCAATCTATCGTCTATTACAATGACACATTTAGAAATACTTATACCAAATGATATAAACACTTGAAGCAAAAACTATGTACCCATTTTACGTAAATTTTACGAACGGACCAATATAAATTATTGCACATTAAATTAATTTTGCACTTCTGAAAATTTCAATTTTGAAGCAATACCTATTTCCTGTCAATATATTAATTAAATATAGAAATGTCTATTTACTCATATGTATATACTAATACATATATAGTCAGTGTGTCTGTTTGTTCATGCTAATCTCTGAATCCTATCCCATCCCCTGTCTTATCTATTTAGTTTGACTAAAATGTTATTTTATTATACTTAACTAGCTTTTGCCCGCGGCTTCTCTCACGTTAAATTGTCCCCTTAGGGGTGGAATTCTTAGGCGATGCCTACGTCATAGTAGCTTTATGCATGCAAAGTCTCAGCCCGATCGGTTTAAAATTGACAAAGTTTCATACAAACTTTCATCCCCTATGAATGATTGATTACTTCTATATATAGATAGAAGTAATCAAAGTCCTCTCTTAGCGGATGCCTACGTCATAACATCTACCTGCATGCCAAATTTCAGCCCGATCCGTCCAGTGGTTTGGGCTGTGCGTTGATAGATCACTACGTCAGTCACCTTTGAGTTATATATATTTAGATTTATTGTGTTAAATATAATATTTGTTATCGTTTCCTTGAATTTGATTGTGGCCCAGCTCGCGCGTATCGTGCTTCATTGATTCGCACACAAAGTATTATACACTTCATTAAAATATTACATTCAATACAAATATTGTTTTAATCTCCGTCAAAACAGCGAGGTTTTATAGTTTTGTTGTAGCTCTTTTTTTTATAGATGTGTGTCCCCCGCGTCCCCCCCTGAAGGAGATTGTTAGTAATGTGAATTAATTACCCTATTGCTAGCAATGTACCATGTCATTTTGACCGCGGTTCCTCCTGGAAACCATCGTTATAAATTCCTGGTGAATTTATCACGATGGGCTAACTGATCTGACTTCATGTTCATCTTATCATCCTCCACTGGTGCCCCGCCAACGTAAACCGTTAGCGCAGGCGGGTGCACCATTCCATTATCATCCTCTAAAAAAAAACAATCCCCCTCAGGGGGAAAGGGGACTGTTAGTAATGGGAACTGATAACTCCCATTGCTAGCAATGTACCATGTCAGGTCGACCTCCCCGTGGTTCTTCCTGGAAACCGTCGTGAAGAATTTATCTTGGTGAGTTTATCACAATGGGCTAACTGACGTGACCTCATGCTCATCTTATCGTCCTCCATAAGTGTCCCGCCAGCGTAAACTGATAGCGCAGGCGGGTGCACTATTCCATTATCATTCATAAAAATAAAAAAAACAATACCTTTTTCCTCCTAAATTTGACTTCTTTCAATTTGGGCATCGTAGCCTATGAAATGGAGTCACCGATTTCGATGCGGTTTTTTTTTAAATTACGCGGGCACTAATTTTCTTGACAAAATTTTTTCTAGTCTATTATTTTTTTAAGTCTAAGTCATCGTTATTATTATAGCTACATACCAATGTATCGTTGCCCTGGTGCATATCGTTCCACGTCTCCATTGATGATCAGGCGGTAGAAGTTATCACCAGGTGACTTTGCAGCGGCGTTTTCAGGGGCCAGCTCGCACCCGCGTGCTGCCGCCAAGCATACGGCCAGGCAGATGAGTACCCGCATCATACCAGCGCTTGCACTCAGTCACACATCTGTTGACAGGCGAAGTTGTTATGAATATCATAAACGTTACGTTTAGGAAGACCATAAAAAAAACATATATAAAAAAAACAGATGTCACTTATACAAAAGTGTATGCGATATCTTTACAGTTTATGCACATATCTGATGATTCTTTTAACAAGTACAAATTACTCCCGTGTAAGCCATGCTATTTTTAGAATAGAATAGAAAATTATTTATTCAAATAAACTTACAAAAATTCAAAAGTGCCTCAACACGTTTGAATAGTCATCACATATTTTTTAATCTACCGCTCATTCGGAAAGCTGTCCCATCACAAGAAGAACGAGAAAGAAACTTGCGTGTTTCTCTTTTATTTTTTAACAACAAATCTCAAAACTTACTACAATAGTAAGAAATTAAAATATACATATATTTACTTTTTTTTCTTGTGAACATAACTATATATTTTCATAATTCAATACAAACAATTAAAAAAAAAAAGACATATATTTATTTATACACATACCTATATATATTTACGTTGTATAGTCAATATTGCTGACATTTCTTTATATAAATAACTAGCTACTCGCCCCTTCTTCGCTCGGGTGTACATGTATTATACATATAAACCTTCCTCTTGAATCACTCTATCTATTAAAAAAAACCGCTTCTAAATCCGTTGCGTAGTTTTAAAGATTTAAGCATACATAGGGACGGACAGACAGCGACAGCAACTTTGTTTTATACTATGTAATGATGATTTGCAAAACTTCAATAATAAAAAAATTTATATTTATTCACGTTGCTTATTAAATCCTCTTGGATTTACTTCTTTAAATAAATAATAGTGTTTGTGAAAAGAACAATAAGGTGTATCTATTATTTTGTACATCTATATCTCCCTAAAACAAATAAACAAGATCTATGAAAGTTCAAAAAGAAAAGATCGTAAACATTATCAAAACCAGATGAGGGAGAATGTTGGGACACTTGATACGGCACAACAAAGTTATAAACATTAATGAAGGAAAAATAGGGACACGGTAAGAATTACTTATATATTATACTAGCTGTAGGTACACGCGACTTCGTCCGCGTGGAATTTAAATTTATTTTTCTAAAATAAAAGTAGCCTAAGTTACTCCTTATTACATCAGCTACCTGCCAAAAAAATCCCATCAAAATCGGTCCAGCCATTTCAGAGATTAGCCGGAACAAACAGACAGACAAATATTGTAAAACATATTATTTTGGTGTATGTACCGCATTTATATTCATATGCATGTAGTAAAAAACGGTTATTTCAATGTTACAAATAAACACTCCAATTTTATTTATATGTATAGATTGTAAAGATTACAATAACCTATACAAATATAGCTATAATATACCTTAGCGGCCGTTGTTAAGGTTATTTATATGTATTCTATTTATAATTTTCTGAACATAACAAATCTCTTATAAATTGTAATCTCTCAATAATAATAGGCTCTCAAAATCTCCATGTCCCCATTCGTTTGATATCGAATCCTTTTATCATAGACTACAATACACGAGTATGTACTATATATATACTATACTATGTACTATATATAAATTGTATACAAAATATATTTTTACGCCAAAACCAAATTCTCGCAGAATTTTTATTATGAACTAGCTGTACTCGCGACTTCGTCCGCATGGAATATAACTTTATTTCTCTAAAGAGTAGCCTTCTAAAAAGTAGCCAAGTTACTCCTTATTAAATCAGCTACCTGCCAAAAAAGTACCGACAAACTCGGCCAACCAATTTCAGAGATTAGCCGGGACAGAGAGATAGACAAAAATTGAAAAAATCTTATTTTGGTATATGTACCGTATTTATATTCATATGCATGTAGTAAAAAACGGTTATTTCAATATTACAAACAGACACTCCAATTTTATTTATATATATAGATTATTAGATGTGCCCGCGGTTTCACCAGAGGGAAATTTATAGCTTACTAGCTTTTACTCGCGGCTTCGCTCGCATTTAATCTATTAAATATGAAATAAAATCCTAACCTCAAAAATTCCAATGCAAAATGTTAATATAGTTAATTGATTTTAATTGATATATAACTTAATTAATGGCTGCTATATGGCGCTGAAGTAACAGAATGTTGATATTTTATTTTATTGTTTTTTTTTAATAAAAAAATATCCTATGTTCATTCTAATACCTCCAAGAACATGTGTACAAAATTTCATGATTATCGGTTCAGTAGTTTTTGCGTGAAAGCGTAACAAACATACCTACTTTCACATTTATAATATTATTAAGAATGATGATGTATAAGCTATATTACTGTAAAGTTTCATTAAAATCCGTTCAGTAGTTTTTGCGTGAAAGAGTAACAAACATCCATCCATACTCACAAACTTTTTATTCGCGTTTATAAGTAAGTTTAAAAAAAATATTAGTAAGTTTAAAATTGATATAAATAAATTAATATAAATACAAAGAATGTTTAATAAATATTATTGTATATATAGATTACAAACTTACATGGAAACAGTGTGTCGGGCTGAACAGTAGCGCAGAATGAGGCGCGTTATCAGTGCAAACTGCCGCCCGGTTTGATAACGGGTCAGCAGTCATCTATCTAACTATAATGGTGCCGCCTCATACCTACCACCACCGCTCATCATACCTACCACCCATTAAAGTACTGCATAAACAAATAATATCTACGATTCTCAAAGTAAGCAAGTTGCAAAATTGACCCAAATATTTTATTAATTTATTTATTTGTCAGACTCTGTACTCAATTTGCCAGTAAAACGAACGAAAATATTTTCTTTGTAAAAAAGCTTATATATATAAAATTGAGGATTATATAAATGACTAGCTGACCACGTGAACTCGGTTCAATATTAAACATGTCAAAGGTTTATTGAACTCGGTTACCTACGCAATAAATTTCTAAACGCACCCTGTTCGACAGGTATCAACAGTTTGTATGGGAACATAAAATTGTTGTTTATACTATTTTACATGCAATTTCTTCATATTTTATCACAGTTTAAACCTTCCCTGGACCTCCACAAATATTTTAAGACTAAAATTAGCCAAATCGGTTCAGCCGTTTTCAAGTTTTAGCGAGACTAACGAACTGCAATTCATTTTTATATATATAGAAGATATAAATTTTTTTTAGATAATATATAACTTAAAATTCATAGCGCTGACCATGTTATCTGATTGAACAGAGATTAAGTGCGTAGCGGTTTCTATGTTGATTGTCGAATGCCTAATCCTTGTTAATTTAAACCAACATACCAACCAACTACTTAAAACAACATTTATTTAAAAGAGCAACACGCAAGTTTCATGCTCATTCTTCTTGTGATGAGTCTACGTCCCGAATGAGTGGTAAAATAAAAAAAAATTCTATCTCTGTTCGCAGTCATCTCGTTACTTACTCCCTTTCTTACCATATCATCTTTCACACAGTCCATCCATCTCTTTTTCGGCCTTCCTCTGCCCTTATAACCATCCACATTCATATGTAACACCTTTCTTAAAATATTATCCTCGTTCCTACGCATTACATGTCCATACCATGATAGACGATTACTCTTCAACCTCTCTGACACCGGTGCCACTTTCATATTTCCTCTAATGTATTCATTCTTTATCTTATCCATTCTTATCACACCACACATCCACCTCAACATTCGCATTTCAGTTGCATAGATTCATTGATAGATAATGCAGAATTCACTATGAAAAGTTGTAAAACAGCAGTTGGTAGTACTTTTAATACATACATACTGGTATGTGTGTATGTATTGTGTGCTCCCTAAAATATGGTCGAGTGCAGTGATAGCTGGCTCATCCGTCATACTCGTGAACGAGTGCTGCTTGTAGGGACTGGTCTGCTCTTATCACAACGACTGATTTAATCTTATTGTATATTTATATTTGACCCAAAAAATTAGTACTGGTTGGTAGTTTGTATTCACACGTTTCGACTTGTAAATGTAAACTTACAAGGATTATTTAAAAAAGCAACACACAAGTTTCTTGCTCGTTCTTCTTGTGATGAGACAGCATTCCGAACGAGTGGTAGATAAAAAACAAATTGTTATGACTGTTCAAAAGTGCTTAAATTAAGTTTATTTGAATAAATGATTTTCTATTCTATTCTATTACGGTAGGGATAGCCGCAAATCGAATGTATTACGAATCCACCCTAATTGTATTACGTAACGGCGGCCGGTCACCAGCGGCGAGGTTCAAGGCCGCTACGGGGGTTGCAGCTAGCAACGAGGGTAAGGACGGCACCAGAAATCACCTACACATTGTTTTTTTATGGATGACTAGCTGTACCCGCTACTTTGTCCGCGTGGAATTTACATGTATTTTCTAAAATAAAAGTAGCCTAAGTTAATAATAATAATTCTTTATTGCGCACAGACAAACAAAGAACAATAAAAGAAAATGATAAAAAGTTATACAAAAGGCGGTCTTATCACTAACAGCAATTTCTTACAGACAATCTAGTATTGACAGATATTATTTACATAGAGAAGGTAGATGGCGCACAGTAGACAACATATTTATAATACACATATAGATAAACATACATTTTATAAGTTAAGTTACTCCTTATTACATCAGCTACCTGCCAAAAATATTCTCGTCAAAATCTGTCCAATATTTCAGAGATTAGCCGGAACAAACAGACAGACAGACAGACAAAAATTGTAAAAAATGTTATTTTGGTGTATGTATTGTACCAATTACTAAATAAATAAATAATTTCAGAACAATTCACACAGCGCCATCTAGACCCAAATTAAGCTACCTAAAGCTTGTGTTATGGGTACTAGACAACTGATACAAATACATATATATGTTTTTTTCGTAAATACATACATATTATAGATAGAAAATACCCAGACCGATACAAACAATCATACTCATGAATACAAATGTTTGTGCCGTGCGAGGAATCGAACCCGCGACCATCGGACGTAAAGCGGTGTGCTAAACCGCTAGACCACCGACCACCCAATGCATAGAAGTGTATATATAATAGGTGGAAATAAATGTTGGGTCATACAATTCAAGACAGGATACGATAAACTAAAAGAAATCGTTCCTAACGATTGAAATGATCTCAACTTATTTTGCGTAATCGCTGCCGGCTGACGACATGAAATGGGCCATAGAGTAAATTACTATAACGTGTTGCCAGATGTTGTAAAATGTATGGCCTTTTAGTGCCTACACACGTATTTTTTTTATTCTATATTGTAATAAAAGTGTAACAAATGCGAGCTCTAAAGAGTAAGTACATAATTAATACATATAAATAAATTTGGAGTGTCTATTTGTAATATTGAAATAACCGTTTTTTACTACATGCATATGAATATAAATACGGTATACCAAAATACCATTTTTTACAATTTTTGTCTGTTTGTTTGTTCTGGCTAATCTCAGAAATGGCTGTACCGATTTTGACGGGACTTTTTTTTGGCAGGTAGCTGATGTAATAAGGAGTAACTTAGGCTACTTTTATTTTAGAAAAATAAAGTTACATTCCACGCGGACGAAGTCGCGGGAACAGCTAGTCATTTTAATAAGCTTAATATGTTTTTATGAATAAGCTGTGCCGCCGTTTCTAACTATACATAACTGATAATATTATGTATTATATTGCTGTAAAGTGTCATTAAAATTTATTTAGTAGTTTTTGCATGAAAGATTAATACAATAAATAAATTTTCTAAAATAGAACTAGCCTAATTTGTTTCTTATAACATTAGTTAACTGCGAGTAAAAGTCCCATCGAAATTGGACCGGCCGTTTCAGATTAACAACACCAAACAAACAAACAGAGAGACAAAAAAAATTATCTCTATGAAAGTACTCTATATACTTTCATATGTATATATAACATTAGTTAACTGCGAGTAAAATTCCCGTCCAAATCAGTCCAGCCGTTTCAGAGAGAGATTAGCGAGAACAAACAAACATACATAGAGACAAAAAAAATATCTCTATGAAAGTACCGTTTATACTTTCATATGCATTTATTGAAAAGTTGTTAATTTGAAATTATAATACAACATTTAAATTTTATTAATTTATATAGAATAGAATAGAATAGAAAATCATTTATTCAAATAAACTTAACTTAAGCACTTTTTAATAGACAATAACAATGTTTTTTTTAATCTACCGCTCATTCGGAAAGTTCTCTCATCATTACATCATATATAGGCGGTGTGCAGACTTACCTGCAGGTATCCCGTGCAGGTATCTCCCGTCGTGTAGCGGTAGGCAGCTGTAGTGTGTGGTAGAGTGTGGTAGAGAGTGGTAATGAGCGCGGACAGCGTGGCAGGAGCCCGGTGACGGCACCGGCCAAGTGATGACTTCCGGCGGTCTCGTTGGCTCGTGCCGCATACCATCACGCCTACATACTTGACAGGGCTGCCACAGATACCCATGCGAGACAGATGTAGAAATAACCTTTATTCAAATACTAGCCCCTCGCGTACATGTATCTATATATATATATATATATATATGACTGACTGACATAGTGATCTATCAACGCACAGCCCAAACCACTGGACGGATCGGGCTGAAATTTGGCATGCAGGTAGATGTTATGACGTAGGCATCTGTTACGAAAGGATTTTGATTAATTCTACCCCCAAGGGGATAAAATAGGGGATGAAAGTTTGAATATAAACCTTCCTCTTGAATCACTCTATCTATTAAAAAAACCGCTTCAAAATCCGTTGTGTGGTTGTATCCGTTTAGTAGTAGCATACATAGGGACGGACAGAAATAGCCCATTGTGACATATTCACCAGAAATTAATCCTGGTGGTTTCCAGGGGGAACCGCGTGGAGGTCGACCTGACGTTACTCGCTGATAATGTATCTATATATAGGCACAATATTTTTTATCTGTTCAAAATCATCTTAATTTATCCATCACAATTAAATAGTATATGAAAATAATCTTTGCTCTTTCTATGTAACAAAGATTTGTATCTAAATATATATAACTCAAAGGTGACTGACTGACATAGTGATCTATGAACGCACAGCCCAAATCACTGGACGGATCGGGCTGAAATTTGGCATGCAGGTAGATGTTATGACGTAGGCATCCGCTAAGAAAATATTTTGATTAATTCTACCCCCAAAAGGATAAAATAGGGGATGAAAGTTTGTATGAAACTTTGTCAATTTTAAACCGATCGGGCTGAGACTTTGCATGCATAAAGCTACTATGACGTAGGCATCCCTTAAGAAAGGATTTTGATAAATTCCACCCCTAAGGGGATAAATTATGCGAGCGAAGCTGCGGGTAAAATCTAGTATTAAATAAACCGGACAACCAAATAATAAATAAGCCGTTTTTGTAGGTATGTATAGATTATATTTAGAAAAAAATATTACCTATATATACTACATTAAATAATTTAGAAAATGTGGGCACCCTACACGTTACGTTACGGAGATTAAAAACAGTTTCAATTTTTTTTTACCTTTTTGTTAGTTTGTTCTCCGCTAGTCACAGTAATAACATACTCGATTAAATGCAGTTTTCATTGATATATCATTTATTTTAAGATTTGTTTTATATCAATTGGTTCTGGGCGCTCGAGAAGATTCTAGAATAAACTAGTAAGTTTATCGAAATGCGCGCTATTCTATAAAACTAAGTGCATACGATGTCGCAGGTACAGCTTGATAATAATTTTTTTTTTAGATGCCAAGTATAGAACATCATCCGCTTCTTCCTTATCCCATTTATTTGTGGTCGTCGTAATATGTTTTTTTTCCATTCATCGCCGTTCGCAGTCATCTCGTTATTTACTCCCTTTCTTGCCATATCATCTTTCACACAGTCCATCCATCTCTTTTTCGGCCTTCCTCTGCCCTTATAACCATCCACAATTATATGTAACTATTCATCTTCTTCTTCCTTAACCCATTTATTTGTGGTCGTCGTAATATGTTTTTCTCTTCCATTCATCCCTGTTCGCAGTCATCTCGTTATTTACTCCCTTTCTTACCATATCATCTTTCACACAGTCCATCCATCTCTTTTTCGGCCTTCCTCTACCCTTATAACCATCCACAATTATATGTAACTATTCATCTTCTTCTTCCTTAACCCATTTATTTGTGGTCGTCGTAATATGTTTTTCTCTTCCATTCATCCCTCTTCGCAGTCATCTCGTTATTTACTCCCATTCTTACCATATCATCTTTCACACAGTCCATCCATCTCTTTTTCGGCCTTCCTCTACCCTTATAACCATCCACATTCATATGTAACTATTCATCTGCTTCTTTCTTTGTTCATTTATTTGTGGTCGTCGTAATATGTTTTTCTCTTCCATTCATCCCTGTTCGCAGTCATCTCGTTATTTACTCCATTTCTTGCCATGTCATCTTTCACACAGTCCATCCATCTCTTTTTCGGCCTTCCTCTGCCCTTATAACCATCCACATTCATATGTAACTATTCATCTTCTTCTTTCTTTGTTCATTTATTTCTGGTCGTCGTAATGTTTTTCTCTTCCATTCATCGCTGTTTGCAATCATCATCCTATTTACTCCATTTCTTGCCATGTCATCTTTCACACAGTCCATCCATCTCTTTTTCGGCCTTCCTCTACCCTTATAACCATCCACATTCATATGTAACTTACTACTAGCAACCCACCCCGGCACCAGGGGTTACATGTATGTACTTGCTTCGGCAGTACATATACTAAAATTGGAACGATACAGAGAAGATTAGCATGGCCCCTGCGCAAGGATGACACGCAAAATCGTGAAGCTTTCCACATTTTTTTTAACTTTGCGCAGAGGTAATATCGTAACCAATGAGGCTAATCCGAGATGCGATTATTGCTAGGGGTTACATGTATGTTATATATGCTCGTATAGCTATCTATAACTGCTTTATATCTAATATCATTCTAATTAAGTACCTCCCATACTAGTAGTACCCATAACACAAGCTTCAGCTAGCTTAAATTGGGTCTAGATGGCGCTGTGTGAATTGTCCTGAGATTATTATTATTTTTTTTTTATTAAATCTTTTATGCACAAATACACAAATATAGATGCATATGGCGGACTCAACACCCTGAGGTATTATATATTACTAGCTGTCCCGAGCAAACGTTGTTTTGCCTTAAAATAAAAAAAAATTAGGGGTGGACTACCCCTAACATTTAGGGGGATGAAAAATAGATGTTGGCCGATTCTCAGACCTACTCAATACGCTCACAAAATTTCATGAGAATCGGGCAAGTCGTTTCGGAGGAGTATGGGAACGAAAACTGTGATACGAGAATTTTATATATAAGATAATATTCAAAGTACCCACAATGTATAGTATATACTTTTACGACATTTGTTTGGATCATTTAAAGAAGTGTAATTCTATCATACATACTATTTGAGTAACTTGAACCATTTACGCAGTACATACAACGATAGCCAAAAATGAATAATTTTACCCGTTTCGGCAACATTTATCACTGTTGCATCGCTTCTATTGGTCGTAGCGTAATGTTATATATCTTAAAGCCTTCTTCGACATATGGACTATCGAACACAAAAAGAATTTTTCAATTCGAACCAGTAGTTTCTGAGATTAGTGCGTTCAAACAAACACACTCTTCAGCTTTATAATAGGTGGGAGGGGATTGTCAGTAATGTGGACTGATGACCCCATTGCTAGCAATGTACCATGTCAAGTTGACCTCTACGCGGTTCCTCCTGGAAACCATCGTGATAAATTCTTGGTAAATTTGTCACGGTGGGCTAACTGACCTGACCTGATGCTCATCTTAACATCCTCTACTGGTGCTCCGCCAGCGTAAACCGTTAGCGCAGGCGGGTGCACCATTCCATTATAATCCATAAAAAATATATATTAGTATAGGTTATTACAATATAATTCATCTATGGATGTAATCATACAGAAATTGCCGACAGCCGATTGCGTGTCTCTATGTATACTTAATGATAAGAGCAGCCGCTTGTGATGACAAAAGAATAAATCTATACATATAAATAAAAGTGGAGTGTCTGTTTGTAATATTGAAATAACCGTTTTTTACTACATGCATATGAATATAAATACGGTACATACACCAAAATAATGTTTTTTACAATTTTTGTCTGTCGGTCTGTTTGTTCCGGCTAGTCTCTGAAATGGCTGTACCGATTTTGACGGAACTTTTATAGGCAGGTAGCTGATGTAATAAGGAGTAACTTGGGCTACTTTTATTTTGGAAAAATAAAGTTAAATTCCACGCGGACGAAGTCGCCGGAACAGCTAGTACTATATAAGTGTATAAACATCTCGTATTAGATGTAATATTAATGTAGGCATGTTGAATCTCTCATTTGACTGCCTCTGTGGTCCAGCGGTTCAGCACACCGCTTTACTTCCGATGGTTCAAAATTCGATTCCTCGCTCGGTGCAAACATCTGTATTCATGAGTATGATTGTTTGTAATGGGCTGGGTGATTTCTATACACAGAAATATATATTATAAAATACTATCTACTCGCCCCGGCTTCGTACGGATTTACATGTATTATATATACAAACTTTCCTCTAGAATCACGCTATCTATTAAAAAAAACCGCTTCAAAATCCGTTGCGCAGTTTTAAAGATTTAAGCATACATTCGGACTGACAGCGACAACGACTTTGTTTTATACTATGTAATGATTTTGATGCAGAAAACTGCTAAACAGTTTTGCTATAAATAAATTTTTGTTTTATATTTATTTTTTTATAAATAAATTAAAAAAAAAATCAATTTATCTGTTATCTAAGCTGACTGACCTTTATGGTATTGTTTCAGGTAATTGATATGGAGGACGCTAGACTATCATTACGCGTCTAGTGGATATAAAAGTGAAGGAATACCATTTTCTTGAAAATCTAACGACCATATGCAGGTAAATTTGATAGTGTAGAATTGCTCGCTTCTGTGTTTTTTTATGTGTATTTTAATGGAATTGTGCACCCGCCAGTTCGGTTTAGATGCTCGAAGTGAAAAATACATATAAGTGAAAGAAGAAAGTCTCTAGTGGCTGCTGCCGCCCCGTAACACAATAATCATCATCATCATCTCAGGACAATTCACACAGCGCCATCTAGACCCAAGTTAAGCTAACTAAAGCTTGTGTTATGGGTACTAGACAACTAATACAAATACATAAATTATTTTTTTTTTCGTAAATCCATACATATTATACATAGAAAACACCCAGACCGATACAAACAATCATACTCATCAATACAAATGTTTGTGCCGTGCGAGGAATCGAACCCGCGACCATCGGAC